CCACCACCCGCCAGGAGAGTGAAGGAGGGATCATGTCCTGCCGCGAGGTTCCTGGCTGCTGGGCAGGAGGGAGGGTGTCACAGCTACTCGCCTTGCTGTCCGCTGAGGTGAGAGATCCTGAGGTTCTGCAGAGGCCGTTTTGGGGTATCTTCCCATGGGATGTACTCCAGCCCCTGCTGCTTCTGCAGCTTGGAGCTTTCCAAGGCAACTTGTGAAGTTTGGGTGATGACCAGCTGCCTCGTGGCTCAAGCTGTGCAGAAAATGGGGTTTCTCCCATGTTAAAGATGAGCTGCTCACTCCAGCCCTGGGGACAGGAGGTTCAGAGTATGTCATGGGAGGACATCTTCTAGAAGCGCTGTTTGGGGGAACGTGAGCAGAATGTGTTGGAGTTTTGTGGTGGTCACCTTCATGAGTCTTTGTCTCTTGGGTTTACTAGTCTAGTGCTGCTTCCTTGCTGGTGCAGGGGTTGGAGGTGCCATGCCACCAGGGAGGTGGGAGATGTGCTTAGGTCAGGGGCAGGCGGGTGGGGGACCCTTGCAAGAGGAGGACTGCCAGCCTGCCTATCACCACTTCAATTCTTTTGAGTGAAAATTTTCTTCCAGAAAATGTCAGTGTCATAAAAATTCAGTGCTAGAGCTGGAGAAAATGTTAGCAATGAACACTGATGGATCTGCTCAGCTTCCCTGTCAGACTGGGAGCTGCTCCAGCCACACGGGAACTGCCAGCAGACTTGGGAAGACCATGGCTCACTGACCTGCCAATAGAGTGTTGTGCAATTTGTTCCCTCCAATGAAAATTAAAATTCTACAGAAATTAATTGCCTAGAGGTCTTTCATCTCCAAGGAAGTTTCCTTCTTGCCGTAGTTTTTTTTTTCTCCATGCTTGGTAAAGAACATCGATGAAGGAGGTACGTAGCTGTTGGGAGCCGAAGGGAGTGCCGTGTGGATTTGGGTTTGTAGGCAGCATCTGTGAGATCTTTCTCCTGCTGTGGCGTCTGAAGGTGATGCAATGCTTCCCCAGAACATGCCAGCCAGAGCATGCTGTTTTTGCAGAGAGCAAAGAGTAGCGTGTTTGGCAAAAATTGAAGACTTTGCACCTTTGGTTTAAATTTGAAATAGTCGTCAGTGGGGAGCTGTGTGAAGGAGACTGGGGATGCCAGGCTGGAAGCAGAAGGATGCCCTTAGAGACTTACGATGCAGTGGGAACACCAGCTAGGGCAAGAGGACCAAAGAGGACCTCACGTCTCTTCTCACTTACGTGGAAGCTCCAAGATCTGACGGTGCTAATGTTCTGAGTGCTGCATGGTCGGAGGACTGGGAGATGTGGGGATGGGATGCAGCCATGCAAAATGCAACATGCAAAATAAACTCTGAACAGATAGAAGGAAAACCCTAAGGAGATGCTTGCTTTTTTTTTTTTGCAACAGTTTTGGCCCTTGTCAGCGTTACCAGTATTGACAGGGATCAGTGGAGAGCTTTATGCAAAGAAAAGGCAGCTGGTCAGGTTGACTTACTTGGGTCGCTGTGATCTCTATTATAATTGTTCCCTGTGTGATTATTTTGAGGGTTGAGCAACTGAGAGCTGCAGAAGAGACGTGCAGCTTTGTTTCTGCGATGTGTGAAATGTTCTGTGTTCATTTCAAAACCGTTCATTGCTCTTTCCATCAAAAATAAAAAATTTTTGGAAGTCTGCAGGAATTTTTGTGAAGTCTAACTTTAAATACTCACCTTCCCTTTTATCGCCCTTATCAGCACGTAGAGCTCGGTATGTGAGGTTTTTAGCTGACATTTCAAATCACTGTGAGTGTGCCTGTATCCCTTTTAAAGCAGCTTCCCCTCCCAGATCAGAAGTGACCAGGGTTGGTTTTTTTTTGTTAGACTCCATGTTCCTTTAATGTTTTCCTCCTAATAGATGTTGAAAGCGTTCTTCAGAGGCAGGGCACAAAACATTCAAATAGTGATACGAGCCAGCTGAAGAGAGTTGTCAGGGAGAGAGAACATTAGGAGGAGGATTGAATACAGATGGATTCCTCAAAAGTAATGTAACCTGTTATGATTGCTTTGAAATCCTATACCCTTTCCATCTACGTACGCTTACTGAAAGTTTACATTTGCATTGATGTATTAGAGGCAGAGCTAAAATTGAAGTAATCCCTGCTGTATACATGCTTAAGTGTGTAATTTTAGCTAAACACAGCAGTTGTGACCAAACTCTTGCCTGCGTCCTTCGTGGGAAGCCCCCAGCCGTGGAGTGCTGCGGGAGAGCCCGTCCATCCCACCTCCTGCCGAGGGGCCGGGGACCATCCAGGGACCACCCAGCACCCAGCTGCTCGCTCCGGGTTCCTTCAGCCACCTCAGATCCATACCTGACGAACTCTTCAGATGCTCTCTGCTGCTCTGCCTTTGTATCAGCAGATACACAGGAGGAATGGTTGATCTGGGCATTTATTCTATAGATCATAGCACTTTGTTAATATGCTGCTAGAATAATCTGTGCCGCTTCCAGAGAGTCCTGGCAGAAGGTCCACTAGAAGTTGGTGCTATATTTTAATTGGGTTATCCAAAAAGCATCCTTCTCTTTGCCCTCAGGGAAGGCCTGCGCTATCCATCATTCCTGCCTCAATTTAAGAGGTTGTATCAGCCTCCATCGCACAACTGTCACATCGGATGTGGCAGGAGGGTTGCACTGCACAGCTCGCCTTTAATTTTCAGAACTGACCATTCTGCAAGGGGAGGGCTGCTGAAGGGGGGCAGTAAGGTTTTCACTTATTATACCTTGCTTCTTAGGGTCAACTTGCTCAAATTATTTGCAGCCTTAAATATTTGCCCTAGAAAGCTGTTCTGAAATCTGATGGAATATAGAAATAAGGTTGCTCCAGTGCACATCTGCAGTGACAGAAAAAGTTTGTGTGCTGGAAGACATCCATGGTGACTCGCCGTCTCAAGGTGCCTGTAAGCATTCGTACCCAGCTGTCTCTGTACTGCACCTGAGCGTGGAGAAACCTCACGAGGCTCCCTTTGCCTCAAACGGTCATGAAAAACCTCAGCTGACTCCGTTTTGAGTGTTCTTTGCACCACTCCGCAGCTATGCTGAGCTTCGTCACCCGGGGAGAAATCGCTGGGAGTTCTTGCTGCTTTGTGTCGCAAGGAAAACGTGTTTTCTCTCCGTGAGAACAGGAGGGTAATTTGTTCATAGTTGACCCTATAACGGACCTAAACCAATATGATTTTTCTTAGTTATAGCTGACCCTATAGCGGACCTAAACCAATATGATTTTTCTTAGTGACCAGTGAACACCCATGACCTGATGTGTTACAAGGGAAGTTGCCTGGTCCTGTGTCCAGGAGCAGAAGGGCATGGTGAGTAGGAGCTGTGTGCACGCTGTGCTGGCTGGAGGCTGTAGCCCTGTCAGATTCGGGCTTTAAAACATGTTGGTAACGCTCCCATCCCTGTACGCCAAGTACCGTATTGTACATAAATCATTCTGAAGACCTCTGCCTTAAATGGATTGTCTGCTGGTCCCGGTTCACGCAGTGGCTATCCCATGTTCATACTCGGCACAAATATGCAGAAACTGACAACTTTTCCCTTTGCTGGTGTCTTCCTCACCTCCCGTCCTTCCATCTGTGCGTTTCTCATGGGTTTCCTTGTCTTATCTGAATGTAAACTCATCAGGGCAGGGGCAGTTTGCTGTTGTTGGTGGGACTTTGCCCACGGCAGTACAGCCAGAAAAGCTTTTCACAGCAGGACAGGGAAGCACAAGTTGCGTGGTGTGTCCTCCTTGGAGGTGTTTGCTCAAGGTCCTTTACAAACCACATCAACTGGGTGCCGGTTACTGAGTTACTAAATAAAAGGTCATGCTGATGAGCTTCGTGATCTGAATTAAAACAGGACTCCGCTTTTCAGAGCTGGTAACAGAGCTGGGAAACCCCAGGAATTTATCCGCTTCAAGACATGGTACAAATGCTGCTCTTCGTGCCAAGGGGTGGGCAGGGAGAGTGGGGGATTACGTGATGCTGTGTCCATGTGAATGGTTCAGCTTGTTCCTCCTCCTGAGCAATTGCAGGATGACCTGCAGCGACACCAGGACGCCTGCGTGGCCTGGCTGTCCTGCGGTGTGGCAGGGCTGGAGGACATGGCCAGCGGTAGGATTTCTGTGCCGGTGGCAGAGTCGGCGTGAAGGAGCTCTTGCCCGCTTGGTTCACAGGCTGCCTCCCCATTAATGCCGCTCTCCTCCTGAGCAAGGAACTCACATCGCAAGCTGGCTCATGCAAGCGGTCTCTCTCGGTACATTTTGTTTAGGGGAAGGAGGTTGGCCTGCTCACACATGCACTTGAATAACCTGGCTGCAGGACCGGGCAGCCTCTGTAAATCCATGGCCAGGTTGTCCATTGGAAGAGCCGGTGTGATGACATGGTCCTTCCTGGTGGAATTTGCAAGTGTTTGATGTACCCACGTGTGACATTTGAGGTCAGCTTTAGGTACTGCATTGTGAGCAACAGCTGTTTCTTGCTTTCCCTTCCTCCCTTGGCAAACACGTTGGAGTAGAGAGGGGTGTAAAAGCAAGCGTAGAATGGGTGAGCCATGCAACGCGTCCCTCACAGCTGCAAGAGTGGAAAGAAGCCTGATTTGACTAAGAAAAATGCTGTCTCATTGTCTGGGATTGCTTTTAGATGTCCTGCCTTGCTCACAGAATGACAGCTAAGCAGTTAGCCAATGGACATGATAAATCCTGATGAGAACTGGACTTGTCCCATATGCACTTGTTCCCTCCCTCTCTTCATCTCTAACAGTATCACTGTCATTACTCCAGTAATTCCCTTTTGCTTCCAGTTATGAGTCAAATTGTTCGTGGGTCTATCAGTGCAGCTTAATATAAGCACAGCTTATTATAGCCTGTCGCCGGTGCTGGAGCTCCAGGCAGAGCCCTTCTGCCCAGCGATGCAGAGTGTGGTCAAGGTTGTGTCCTTCTCGTTTGACATTCTCAATTTTTCTTTCAGGCATGGGTCATGGAGAGAGCCTGTTAACCCTTACTATGTCAACACGGGCTACGCTTTGGCACCAGCCACCAGTGCCAACGACAGCGAGCAGCAGAGCATGTCCAGTGATGCCGATACGATGTCGCTGACGGACAGCAGCGTGTAAGTAACTCTGGTCTGGTGGGACAATATCAATGGGACCATAGCGCATGTGCTTCCTTGGAGGTGGTGCCGCTGTTGGGTTGGTCTGGGGGAGGCTTTGCCACAGCTGGTGTTGGGGGGAATGTCTGACTAAACCAAGGTCACGATCGTTCTTGCTTTCTTTTCAAGCAGGATTGTTTTGTCACTGTGCAGGCTACTCAACCTTGCTGGGCTTGGGAAAATTTGCAACATTCACATGGTTTTGAGTGAAGTAAAATAAATGGTGCTTGGGCAGAGTTCCTGCAGTGTTTCTTGCCAGGTGCAAGAAACATTGGAAAATTTGGGTGGCTTTGTCATAAGTGATTTGAGATGTAGTATCGTCTCAGTGTCAGACAGAGAGTTCTACTTACCAAGGTCCTTGTCCTCTTGAGGTTTTTTGCTGCCAAACTGTGCTCAGTGTGCGATTGCTCTTCAGTGGGATTGGTGACTGACCACTTCTTGTTTATGCCTGGTGACCGCTGCACTTTAACGCAATTTGTACCAATAAGCCCTTGCCAAATCTTTTTGCTTTTTCTAGTTCCTCCTCTCGTGACAGTGCCCTGCATCTCAGCCGTGAGACACCTTCCTTAAAGACGGGCTGCAAAGGGAGGAGAAAGGGGTTGCAAGATTTTTCTTGTGACTGCATTTCTGTGATGGAAAAAAAAATATTTTGGGGAAAATATTAAATGTTTGGTCTGGTTTTTAGTAGTGCAAATGCAAACAGTCTTTCTGTAGAGCAGAAACCCTTTGATTCTTCAAGCGAAAGATGACAGGTTTACAGAGCGGGGAGAGGGTTTTATTAACAGCAGTGTGGTAAACACGAGTCCTCCAAGAGCCTCGTTTAGTGTCACTGTGAATGTCAGGAGCTCTCAGACCTTGCTGGAGAAACTTTGCAGCCCGTGTTGCCGATGTTGTTAGTGGGTGCTGGCATCGCTCCCCGCCTGCCCTCAGTTCATACGGTGAGCGGCGAATGTGCCGCATGGTAAGGGGGCTTCTGTCTCTGCCGCGGTGGCTCTGTGCAAGTCAGTAGCATCTTTGTCTCTGACCCTGCGGAGGCTTGGAGCCCTTCAGGAGCAGTTATTGAGTCCTCTCTGCTCACTGCCACCAGCTCCTCGCACCTTATCCGTGTCCTGGTGCAGAGTGGAGGAGGGTCCCTTGGCCGAAGGCCCGCGGCAGGCAGGGGTGCCGCTGGGACGGAAGGCTGTAGAGGACCGCTGATGAAAGGCTCAGTGTGATACAAATCCAGCTGCTTTGCCACTTTCTTCTGCAATTCTTCATATTCATCAATTTATACGGAGGAGTCCTCTGAAGCTAGCAGGGGTCGTGTAACTTCTTGTTATCAGGAGAGACAGATGTAAGAACTCTTCAAAATTAATTAGCTTTTAGCACTTCATTTTCCGCTGGTCCGGCAGGCTTGTGGGGTTGCACTGGTGGTTACACCTGCGATAGGTTGTGATCATTTATGCCAGAGTTCTTCACCCTCCTAATTTTTATTTCAGTAGCCAGAATTTATTTCTTTCACAGGCAGAATAATTTCTGTTTGACCATCGTGTGCGTTCTTTATTCTTTGCACCTTTTTCCTTTAGGCATTTTATCCCTTCTATGCCCAGCACAGGCTGCTTCTAGGACTTTAATTACCACCGATACGTGCGCTGCCTTCTGCTAATAACTAACCTCATCTCTGCTTCATTTTGAGTAAGTCTCAAAAATTATAAAGGTAAACCTGTGATCTTTCTCTCTGTGCATCTCAAGCTGGATGCGTGCAGATTGATCCCCAAATTGGGATTCTGGACGTAGAGCCTTGACCTTCGGCTTACAAAGACACTGTCTGCTTTCAGCACTTGCTCTTCATTACATCCTTTAAAACTCCAGTCCCGGGTTTTGTTCGGTTTTTACATGGCGTTGCTGAACCTGTCTGCCTCCTGAGTTTCAAAGGAATTTTTGCAGAATTGCTCAAGGCAGCAAAAATGAAGAACAACCGGACGCAAGTTAAAGAAGGGACTCCTGCTGCTTGACAAGACTTGCATGTCTCGGTGCTTTGAATTTAGGCCTCCTCTGAGAAAATGGCAATAAAAGCCTCGCTTGCTGATGAGCGAGGTTCTTCCCTGTGTGTGCTGTTTGCGTACAGCAGCCCAGCTCGGTAATGAAGAAACCTGGCTTCTGCTCCAAGGCAGCGCCTCAGCTGGGTCTGATCCCACGGTGGAAACCTCTGTGACCCCCTGTCAGAGGAGAAGGTGTCCGGACAATCAGGATGCAAATGCCGGCTAATTGAGGAGTGCTAATAGGAAGGCGAGCGGGCGCACAGGGAGCGTGGCTGGGCGCAAGGCGCGCTCTTCGCGCATTGGCCAAGCCAGGTTGGTGGAGAAGGCGAACGTGCTGTGCAATTGCTTGTGCCCTGATGTATTGCAGTTGTCACCAGCTGCCGTCCAGGCTTTGATATTGTATATTGGTCGTGGCAAAGCGGGGTTTGGATGTGGCTGCACGCAAGCTGTGCAAAAGCTCTGGCCACCTGGGCTGCGGAGCTGGGGCGAAGGGAGGCAGGCACAGGCTTTTTGGGAGTGCCCAGCTTGCCCAAGTGTTTTTAAAAGTCATTTCTGTGGTACCAGCTACAAGCACACTTGCCTAACAGACAACCTTTCAACAGGATGTCTTTCCAAGCTCCGGTAAATATTATTGTAATGGGTTGAATTTATATAACGAGTGTGTTATCAGTCCCTGTTGTTCCACGAGTTTGCTTTTTGAGTGGCTTAAAAAACATTGCTCTTAAATGCCTCTGCTCCGCTGATTATTTTTCAGTCTTCCTGTGTCATACAAATTCCTCTGCCCTTGTAGGCAAAACAGCTCCAGTCCTCTCTGCTGAAACCTGTTTTTATAATCGGCGCGGCAGCTGTGTTGTTTTAGCTGGTTTATGCGGAGATGAGGTCCGGAGAGGACACGGTGTAAGCTCCGGTGAGCGCCAGCCCAGCCAGCGTGCCGTGGCTGCCAGTGGGGCTGGATCCCTCACCGCCGTGTGCCGTGCTGGGTCAGGGGCTCTGGGGCTCTGCCTCCCCCCAGGCTGCTCGGGGGCTGCCCCAGGCTTGCCGCAGCGTTGACACGGCTGTCCTGAAAGGCTCCTGCTGTCCCGGATACCCCTGCACACGGAGAGCATCTTCCCCGAGCCTCTGCAGGGGGAGAGGAAATTGTCAGAACAGAGACACTGAAGAAAATTAAGGCAAATCTAGGTAGGAGGGCAACAGGCAGAAGCTGAAATGGGTTAAATCGCTGTGTGCTGTTCCAGTTCAGATGCAGAAATACCTTAGGTCCATCTTTTTCTTCTCTTTGTTTCTGCAAGAGCTTACAATGGGTAAACAAGAGATAACGTCTCCTCTTTAGCCCAATGCTGAGGTCCAACTAAACAACAATACTCCTTCCTCTGGGTCTTATCATGTGTCCTGGCTTATCTGGATTGGGAGATGAGCTTTGCCTTCCCCTGGGGGCTTGGGAAGCCCTTGGTGCCAGTGGACTTGGCCGGAGGGAGGCTGGTTCTTCCCCAGTTCCAGTGGAACCTGCCCCAGAGTAAGGATGGACGTTCCCCGGAGCAAAGGGCTTTAGGACAGCGGTTACTCCTTCAAAAAACCTTGCGGATTGAATATTATTCCTCAGATGAGTGGCCTTTGGCCAAAATGCCTGGCGATTTTCCCATCGTGCTTCTTTATGGGAGAAAGGTCTCTGGGTGACCGTGGTGCTTTGATAAGAGTAACTGGTAGAAAATACCAGTTTCGCTGGGGATTTGTTTCCTGCTCTTCCTATGACCTGTGATCCAAAATGACCTTGTGTTCTGATATATTTAAATAAGATTAACAGCTTTTTAATTTAGAAGATCCCAAATGATGATTTCCAACTTGTTAGGCTTAATGGTTGGGTTTGGAGGCTGTCTGCAGAGGAGCAAAGACAGCCCTTGTTAGACGAGCCCAACTGCAGAGCCACAGCAGAACCTCCCTGCTCACCAGTGGCTCTTATGGGTTGGTTTGGAGAGGGGAGGAAGCCCCCACATTTCCCCAGTAGCAAACCAGTTGCATTATCATTAAATAAATGATAGAAATACTCTTGCTCCCTCCGTTGCATTTCAGCACAGAGCTTTCTGGTGCTTCAGAAAATCACGTGGTGAAACAAGGAAAAACAGTTTGGGAAAGTTTTATTTTAAAAGTAGATGTGCTCTAAAAAAGTTTTGATTTTTTTTTAATATATATTATTTCTCTATCTATTGAAAATATCTCAAAGCAAGCTACCTGACAAAAGGAAAACAAAAGTACAGTATTGGTTTTCCTTGCTTTCCCCCCATCTATTGAATAAGGTTTTGTTGGGATAAAATTAAAGTGCTTATCTTTGAATTTGCTTCCTCTGGTTGAGTTGGCACAGTACATTGAACGAAGGAATGTTCCAAGTTCAGAGGTGGCATTGGGGAATCTAGTTAAAATGACATCAAAGGCAGCACAGCGGGGCTGAACATGTGTTTGAAGCCGGATAGATTAGAGGCCATTATCAGCCTTTCGCTACTGTGCTGGGAACAAAAGTCGCTCTTTCCGCTGGGACTGCTGCTGGGGAGAATTAAAAAAAAAAGAGAGAAAGAAAGAGAAATTGCACCTTCTAATATAATGCTGCTTTTCCTGCGAATGGCTATATGGCTTTAGCGTGTGAGTTGTGTTCTGGCACCCAGCTCTTGTGCAGCGGTTAAACTGAAATGTTGTCTATCGATGCTGACCGGCGATGGCTAGAATAATCCCCCCCATTATTTTTTTTTCAGTAAAAATTGCCAGTTGTTTTGTTGCCATCCAGTCTGGAAAAAGCCACATCGTGCTGCCATGAAACTCTTTAACCGTTGTGTCTCTTAAGTTATTTTTTCAAATGGAGGTTTGTCATTAAAGAAAATGAAGCCACCTAATGAAAGCCTGTCGGTATAGCAACGCTCGGGGAAATTGCTCTGCTCCTGGAAGGTGTCACTGCCGGACGCAGCGGAGGTGATGCTCCCAGACCCGCTCCTCCTCCTGCATTACCTGCAGCCACTAGCCAGAGCTGTAATTAGCCTGGCTAATTTTCTCTTCTCTCATTTGTCTTCCTACTAAAATGCACTTGTCATTAAGCATGGGTTTTATTTTATTTTAATGGTGTTTAATTTTGAATGCCCGGGTTACTGCCTGAAATTGCATTCTTCTGATGTAATTTGGTGGCGATCCTGCCTGCGCCTGCGTTTCCAGCATACCGGCGGGGCTGCGGGCACGGCAGCGACGGGGAGGAGAGCTGGCGGTGACCATCCTCTCACGGGCTGGTGCTTGGAACTCGGGAGGTTTGCAGGCAAAACACCCCAGTGAATTGTGTTTCCCTTGCCAAATGGCATCTCAGCTTTTAAAGTCTGCTGGTTAAACTGTTTGCCTTATGTTCTGGAGCAGCAGCTGTGCTCGGCACTCGGGGAGGGGTAGGTGCTAAGGACATTTGGCCGCTGCAAACATCTTGTCCTGGTGAGGTGCACTGGGACCGGCTCGTTTGGGGGGGGACTGGCTCCTTTGTACAGTGTGGCTTTGGAAGGAGACAGCGCGGGTGCGTGGAAGCTATTTGGTACTTGTGACAAACCAAACCCCTCCATCCATTTCCACCCCTTTCCATGGCATGGCACAGCATGGCCTTCCCAAGCAGGTACTTGTACTAGAACAGAGAAATGCATAAAATAAAAAAAGAAAACTCCGAATTGGCAAGCTGCAGGCTGGCGTTTGTTTTTGCATTCGTTGATTTGTCTCAGAATAGCAGGAGAGGGCCATGGAGACCAGGAGATGGGCCATGTCCTTATCTCGTCACTGGGCTCCACTCCACACATGTTCCCCTTGTCCCGGGTATCAGCGGGTGGGTGCGATGGTGAGAACAAAACCGCGGTTCCTCTCCTCACCTGAAGCCAGGCTCAGCCAGTGGTTCATTGCCATTCGGAGTGCACAGTGAAGCCCGGTGGCCCTGACCCCTGGCACAGGGACCGATGTGTGCCCAGGCCCCGTCTCTGCAGAGGGCTGCCCACGGCTGGGCAGAGCGGGTCTGCACCACCCCCCAGCTCCTGGCAGAGCCACGGGCCCAGCTCCCCGGCTGTCAGGACCGAGGATCGTTGCCACCTCTGTCTCCCTCTGCTGGGTCCCCAGCTTTGTCAGTAAGGGCACAAACCCGCGTGGAGCTGGTTCACGTGGGTGTTGCTGCCCGTGGCATCCCTCCCGGAGCCTGTCCAGCCTCCTCTGGGGCCAGGCTGGGTTCTTCCGCACAGCAACTCCAGCATGAAGCCCGTAACTTCAGTCTGAGCTAGAGATCGTCTTAAGAGCAGTGGAGCCCACCCCTTTGCTTTGATAAGCCGTTTGAGAAGTTGTCACGCTCTCTTAAAAATATATACCTTGTTCCTCAACCGAGTTCCCCTTGGTGTAGATGCTCGCTGAGCTCCCACTCCTCCTCCTCCTCCCCTCCTGGCCTGCCCTGTGGTTTGCTGTGTACGTTACAGGCTCTTTTATAGAAAGCAACCAACTATAAAAGGTACCAGGATGCCGTCCAAGCCCTTCTCCCTGCCCTCCACCTTGGGCAGCGGCTGCAGGAACCCTGCCTCGCTCGGCTCCTGGCAGATGCCCTGTAAGTCCCCTGGCACCTGATGCCAGAGTGCAGTTGGTTTGGGGACCTGACGAGCATCGTTCTCCACACGGATTCCTCTTGCTCTGCTGCACTCACCCTGGGTGTGCAAGGTCTTCCTCAAACGTGAAGGGGTTTCCTACCAGCCAGTCTGCAGCGGTGAGGCTTGAATGAACATAATGTACCAGAGAAAGGCACTAAAGCAGGGCATGTTGTTGTTTTATTCCGGCAGAGATGGGATCCCACCGTACAGACTCCGCAAGCAGCATCGCAGAGAGATGCAAGAAAGTGCCAAAGCAAATGGACGTGTGCCACTACCTCACATTCCTGTAAGTAGCACTATCTCCTGCCCCAGAGGTAAATATGCAAAAAATGCCAGAGCTCTGGCGTAGGGGTTGCTCTGCTCGCTCGAGTTTAGCCCCCCTTAGCGCTGGGTTCATTTGGGGATGTTTTAAGATAGAAATGCACCGTGCTGCGAAATGGTTTGGTAGGCTTCTGCCAAACTCAGCATCCAGGGCTGCCCAGAGCATGTAATTTTTCTTAACCATTCAGTCAGTAGCCAGTTGTTTCTCCCGGACAAGAATGGAAGCGCTGGCCGCATCTGCCTGTGAGAGGGTTCCGTGCCCTCGGGTGGGCTGGAGGTGTTTGCAGAAGGTGTAGGAGGCCATGGGACACGAAGGCTGATGTAGCTCTCGGCCAAGGTCAGCTGGGGAGAAATGCGACTGTCCCGGGCAGTATTTCTGCACTGGGCAGCCCAAGGGAGCTGTAACCTGTTCTCAAAGACTCGGCAAAGCCCGCCTGGGGGTATGAGGCAGGAAAGCAAAGAAAGTGCAGGCGTAAGTACTTCATTTGTCTGGTACTGTCTCCCCGGTTGCTCCAGGTAAGCAAACAGCTTTGGAAGGTGAGTGTAACTGCTAGGGCTCTGCAGCACCATCTGCAGCTCTGCTTATTATTATTTTCCTTCTGTGAGAAGTCACAGGTGACATTTAATATCTAGCAGGGAATAAAGGTGCTTCTTTTCCCTTTGGACAGCTGGACTCCAGCACAAATTAAATAGAGAGAAAAAAAGCCTCCATCTGCTTTTTCCAGAAGTGCCTTCGAACTTGACGCAGCTGTTCTCATCCTGCCTGCTCAAAGCAGCACAATACCAGCAGAAATACACCCTTGTTTTAATCTGATTTAAAAGAAAAAAAACCACCACACACACAACAAAACCACCACTCTTTGTTTTGCCTTTTAAATTAGATTATTTTCCTTAGATTTAAGAGGGTCTCCTGTGCTTTGATCACTGGGTTGACAATAAAAGCCCTGGCTGCGGACGCTCGGTAGCCATCCTTGCTCAGTCACCTCCCTTTTCACACAGTTGCTTTCACAGTGTGGTCGCTGTTGAAAAGGCTGGCTGGGTGCCTTTTTATTTCACTTGATGCCATTTTTACTGTAAGCATGGCTTTGTTAGAGCTGAAGTTTGAAAGCCTGGCCTTTATTTTTTTTGTTGTTGTTGTTGTTGCTGTTCCCCAACAGTGGGAACTACCGAGTGAATATTCTCCAACTTCAAAGCTTGTCAGTGGCTTTACCTTTTGGATAAAAATAATAGTGGCTTTCTGTTGATCGTATGCACTGGCAGTGCCTCAATGAACTGCAGGTTATAAACTCAGAGTATGGAGCATTAAATATGTATAGTGAGCTCTGCTTTAATGAACTTCCATCTGCCAAACACTTCTTTTGTTGAACTGAATAAGTGTCATTCCAGCAGCAGTTCCTTGCAGGCTAATTAGTTTTACTTAGCATTAAATTTTATCGACCTTTTTGGAAACCAGTTAAAAAAGGAGGGGAAAAAAACCAAGGTTTAAATTGGCCACCTGCTGCTTATAAATTTTTATATTATCCTACTTATCTACACAGTCTTTTAGAATTACATATTCCTCCTAAACTACACACAAGTGCTTCACAAGGATTTTTCTGTGAAACATCCGCTGTTCCCATTAGATTCTGCACTGTAATTTTAAGTCCCAGGGAAAAAGGCATCTTGACGCATATTTATATGGGAGCAGGGGACTGAGAAGTCGAGTTAGTTCTGGTCTTTCTCCAGGGAATAAAAGTTTAGTTCAGACACTCTGGCACCTCCTGCCAGCCAATTACTGACACAGAATTGGCATCGACTTCAGAGAGGCGCTGCTCTGCCCTCGCTTATCAATCAGCCAAGAAAGGAGAAGGTAATTAGACAATATGTTTTGACAACACCAGAGTGAATTGTTATAAAGTTAAGTCTTTTAAAATCACCTCTAACCACACGCTTATTGAATTCAACTTCCCCAATTAGCAAGGAGCCATGCAAATGTTTCTCCAAGTGTTGCTTTCCAAAGCCGGTGGTTAGGCTATCTCGCCGCCCGTAGCCAGAGCAGGCTCCGCCGGCCACCTGGACCTGGTGGGTAGCATGTGTTTGAATGTGGAGCAGTGGCTGAATTGCAGGCTTTGAGTGAAGGTCTTTGTGGACTCCTATCTAACCAGTGTAGGCAGAGTCCATGCTGATAGCGCTCGCAGAATGCATGGCATGTTTTCCTAGTGATAGCAGAGAACCTCCTACTTCCGAAAAGCCATTTCAGAAGTCCTTTAGAGACCTTACGGGTCCCTTACAAATGAGTTATGGGGCTATTATGCAAAATTCTGAAAGAACTTGTATTGCTTTTAATAGCAGCACTTTTAGTTAGGTCCAGAAGCTATAAACCGTAGGGATTTTATGTTCATAGGAGACTGCCTGCTAGTTTCAACAGCCATGCTGCCTCCACAAAGCAAAGGCACGTGCTGGTTGTGCAGGATGCCTGGCCCGGCAGCAGCAGATCGTGGTGCGTGGATGGCAGTGCTCTGTGCGTTCCACACTTACAAACTGGCCAATGCTCGGTAAGTTTGGAGAAGCTCTGTTTTGTGAAGCGGTGCTCTGCCTGGGAGTGCAGTGGGTAAAGGTTTCTTCAAGCAATGAGACCTTCGTTGTGTGCCTCTCGCAGGAACCCGTTACATGGCGGGCAAGTGTTTTTCATGTGGTTTTCCATCTCTCTTGGATTCAAGCAGAGTCTTGGAGCACCAAGGAAGGAAAGAGCAGGCGAGTCCCCAGAGGAGGGTGAAAGCCCAGAGAATGCAGGGCTGTACCTGTGCTATTGCACTGCATTTACCCCAGCTCGGGCATCCATCGATACCCAGGAGATGATGGGAGATGCTCCTTTTTCCCAACAAATTCAGAAAAATCCAACCTCAAGCATTGAATTTGGGATTCCTTTTTTTGTTTGTGTGTTTGTGTAAAGAAGCCATTTGGTGATGTTCTTGCTGTAGCGTGTTCTTCAGGTGGGAGCTCTCCTGTCCTGCCCCACAATCCAGGAAGCTGCAGCCCTTTGCACTGTTCCCATGTGAGCAGAAAATCTAGAAGCAGCAGCAGAGTGGGTCAGGCTGACTGCCGAACCTCCCCAGAAGGATGTCCTCAGTGCAGAGGTGGCTTCCATGGTGTTCTTGAGTGGAACAGAAGATTTTGAGTGGCCACTCTGTGGTGCTGTACGAGTGAGGAGTGTGCAGGAGGAGCCCTGGTCTGGTGCTGCCTGGATAACAACAGCAAAAGGAGCTTTCTGCTCCTGCGAGCTGGGAACCTGCTCAGAATTCCCATCAGCCGGTTTATGTCTTTTTCCTCAAGTGCCTTGCATCAGCGGGACTCCTGGCTAATCCCTGAGTGCTGCTAGAGCGGATGCTGAAAGCCAGCTATCCCTGAGCTCTGCCACATGTGTTTCAAGTAGGGAAACACCGCTTATCCTTTAATAACATATGTCACAGTGGAATGCATTAGTAGTCTGGGAAACGTGGAGGTTCAGTTCTTTTCTCTTGGGTTCTCTAACCTGCCATCTTCATCTCCAAGACTGACTTGTGATCTAACATCGGCCACTCAGGTGTCATGGAGGCATCAGTCGGTGTCCATGGGGTGAAGGGAGGTTTATTTCAGTTGCACTGAACATGGATGGTCAGGGAGACCTTGCAGAGATGGCTTCATGGAAGGGACTGCATCCCGCACCCTCGGACAGGCTGCCAAGGACCTCTGCAAGCGGTTGTGCTGAGTGAAAGCCCCAAGGATGGGGCAGTGGGATTTGCAGATGCAGCAGTTTATCAAAGAGAGGAAAACTAGTTCATCCTAAAGATTCTTGGGTTCAATAATTTTCATTTCTGTCCTTGAGCTTCAGTCACCTCCAGACTTTGAGAGGCTGTGGATCCACACGCTGAAGTGTTGTAAAAGACCAAAATCATCTTATCTCGAGTTCCGTGGTTCCAGCAGTGACCCTGAATGTCTTCAGACCCTCCTTAGGGACAGAGATGTGGTCCTGAGGCAGTGCTGGGCCTGGAGGGAACCGCTGTATCGTAACAGGACTGGAGCACGCAGGTTAGCAGACGTCAGCCTCTGCACCCGCTGCTGCTGGGGCTCGGGAGAGACTTCAGTTTGGGATGCTGCATTGCCTCAAGGGCTCTGAAAATGAAGGGCAATTCTTTCCTGGTTCTGCTTTTCTATGGCAGCTGCTGCAGTAGCTGCAGCAGGGAGACCTGCTACAGTAATGGCTGAGTGCTGAGCTGCTGCTCCTTAGGTTTCTAACGGAGCAGGGCTTGTGCTGCCATCGTATAAACAACCGCAGGGAGAGCTGGCGTGTCTGAGGTGGCAGGAGGGAGTGAACGTATCACCGGACGGGTTGTGAGATGTCCGGTGGGAGAGAGGTTTCCCTCCTTGGGAATCGCTGTGCTGCCTTGTGAGATGGGGGGTGGTGGTCACGGGTTTGGGGTTCTGATGAAAGCAGTCTCCCTTAGGCAGAAGTGTTCCCCTGGGATAAGCGAGGGGAATGGGGAAACATCACTTGGATCCTAGGAGCTCCCCAGGGAGTGACAGAGCAGGGACCAGCTCTGCCGCGTCTTCCCCCGTGATGGGGCATGTCTGGGGCCCGTTTCTGGACCACACAAGGTCCAGGTGCTGGGGTGAACTGTGCCGCTTCATCCCTTGTGCCATTATTTCAAGACTAAACATTACTTTTGTTGATGAAGATCTTTCTCTGCAGTGTGTCTTTTTAATACAGGCCATTGATTTGCAGGGCTTGAGGTGCTGGTGGCAGCAGAGGCTTTGTCACTCCAGGGCAGGAGCCACCTGGTAGCTCACCCGTGCTGTGCCCTCTCCAGCAGCTGCGCCCCGGGACGAAGGGGGTGGTGGCTTGGGGCTGTCCCAGCTCAGATGGGTCAGTCCTGCCTGGGACAGCTTCAGGTGGGGCTGTCAGTCCCTCTGCTAGAGCAGGCGGTCCTGTTGCCCGCAAAGCCACTCATGTCCCCAGAGGTCCCCAAGGTCGCTGCAGCCCAGCACCATCCGGCGTGGAAGGGAAGGCGAGGGGTGCAGTGAGCTCTGAAATGGAGATTTAATGGTGGGGTTGGCTGGGTCTTGCTCTTGGTGACCAAAACAAGCAATGCTTTAACTGAGACCTCTGCAACCCAACTTGGGTGTCATAAAAGATGTCTTCAGCTTCTCAGAGCCTTCAGAAGGACACTTACTGCCTCTACTTTTCTTCCCCTGCCTTCTGCTCAGCTGCTGGCAGAGAGAGAAAACCAGTATGATTTCCATGATCTAGTCAGGTTTTGAGGAAGAGCATTATTTTAGTCTTCTGCACTGATCTTTTGGCTGGTCTGGGATAAATTCAGGTGGTCTCTAATCTTCCTTTAAAGATTTCAAGCTCAGTGTCTGCTTCTGGTGCTGCATTTGTTCTTTGGCTGTGAATTATCTCGTGTCTTTACATTTAATTTTATCTCTGGTCCTACACAGTGTATATTTCTCTTGTGTTGGTATTGCAATATTTGAATGCAGGGTTTTACACTATTGAATTTTCATATATTTTTCCTCCAAATTAAATTTTTATCTTACACTGTATCATTTTTTTTCCTACTATTTTAACGAAATAATGCAGAAGGAATAAAAACAAGGGGAAAACCAGCAGCTGTCAGCCTCATACTTCACTACAAACTTCTTATCCCAGAGCTCAGGAATTTAGGGACAAGGTAACGCAGCATAAGGAACCAAGAATGCCCTTGAACTCTTGTAAATATTCATTTGTGCACCCAGAGGGAGCAGAAGAGATCTATCTCGGCGCTCCTAGGGTTGCTGTGTTGATAAAGCAATCTGGGGATCATTGCAGAGCTCTGAAGAGCAGAGATGCAATCCTGCAGCGTCCTCCAGTAAGTGAGGATGCTTTGTGGGAACTGTGGCCTTTTGTGAGGTGTCTTGGAGGTGACAGGATTTCTTCTTCTTTCTGGAGCTATGGGCTGGATTCGCAGGGATTGACCAGCATACCACGATGTGCCTGGGGTAAGCTGAGTAAGTGTGCACAAGAGTCCTGCTTTCTATCAAAGGGAAAACATCGCTACTATAAGCAGGGTTTGTGAGAGGTTTGTCTGTGTGTCCTTTTCCACCCTTTCAGACCTGGATATTCCTTTTGACCATGTGCACATTGGGAGGAAAGCACGCACATCCATCCCAAAGAGGAGTTTGGTGCTGAAGGAGCTGGTTGGACTGTGGGATTCCAGCAGACCTTTCCCTTCCGTGGGGTGGTGTGCGGAGCTGATGCCAGCCGGGAGCTCATGGTGGGGGCTCAGCCTCCAGCCCGCCGGTCCTGGGCTGCCCCTCTGCACCTGCAAGCCTGTCCCCCCCCCAGCTCCCCACCAGAATGACTGGCATTGGCAGTTGTCGAAGCCTCTCAAATAAATGTGTGATTTTTTTCATGCATCTTTTGTTAACCCCTGGTGTGTTTTTTCCCTCCAGCGTACCTACCGAATGCCAAAGGATATCCACGTTGAACCAGAGAAGTTTGCTGCAGAGCTGATCAATCGTTTGGAGGAAGTACAAAAGGAACGTGAAGCAGAGGAGAAATTAGAGGAGCGCCTTAAACGTGTTCGAGCGGTGAGTAAACTCCTTCCCTCCTCTACCAGCCTGGGAGTCCATCTGCTTATTGCACACCATGGGGAGCAGCCTGGGAGACACTTCCCTGCTCCACCATTCACGGTCATCACTTGCATGGGGGCTCCTGCAGGCTCCTGTTGCCCCAGGAGCTTCCACGGTGCTGTTCCCCCATCCACACAGGGCTCTGTGAGTCCCAGCACTCCCTGCCTGCTGCAAGATACCGGCTGTGGCACAGCAGTGCCCATCTCTGTCACCAGACAGGGGCTTTCCATCATCTTCTTTGGCACCCTCGCTCTCCTGTCTGTCACAGCCTTTGTGGGCAATCCCTTCCATGCGAGGATAGAGACTCTGTAACAGGGGTTCACCTTCCCCTGGGGGCTTCCGTGTGACCTGTGTTTCCCCCACAAATGGTAACTCGCTGGCAGGTGATGTTGTATGAGGGTTCTGCCCATCGCATCCCTAGAAAATTTGGGACTGATGGGGAGTAGCATCCAAACATCCAGCATGCTGGCTCCACCTGGGTGGCTGGGGAAGCCCAGCCCGTGGCACTGTGCTGCGAGCCCTGGTACCGTACTGCTGGGGCCCTTCAGAGCTCCAGGACATGGCAGATGAACCAAGGGAAGCGTCCAAGGCCTTTAGCACCCTAACAAGCTCCAAAAGGGAGAGAATGAGGTGTTGGTCATCTGGTATTGTCTGCATGAGACAGCAGTATCCACACTGTGTCTTTTCTTCTGAGATAACTGCATCTCCCAAGTCCCCATCTTGTGCTGGGGACACAGGAGAGCTTTCAGAGGATGTCACAGTGTTACTGAACATCACAAATGTCTAACTGCAGCCCTGGGTGAAGAAATTGTGGGTCTCTGCAGTTAACAGCAGCCGTGGCCCTGAGGCGACGGCTCTGTGCTCAGTAACCGCAGCTCTCCCTTAAAGCAGAGCCGTTGGTGCCCGTCCAGTGCTCTGTGCTTTCTGGGGAGCTCAGTCTCTGGGGCCCCGGGGCAGACCTTTCAGCCCCGTTAGAGTATTTTTAAATCTTCATCAATATTTTTAAATGTTCATCTTTGGACAGAAAAAGAGGTAGTAGTATTTGCTTTAAATCACATTCATATTTCAAATGCGCAGAAGGCAGAGGGATCTGGCAGCTTCCCTCCAGTCCAAGCGTTGTCAGGCAAACTCCTTGCACGTCTGCATCCAGCACCCAGCCCAAAAAGGCCAGCGAGGGGCTATTTTGTGATTAAATTCCTGTTCTTCTAGGATTGGTCCATTTTCCTCTCTGGTACCTGTTGCTTTCTAGACAAAGGCAGTGTAACCAGCAGCATTTTCTGCTAACACAGT